GTACAACGCAAATCAAATCAGTCATTCCTCCGAGTCCTTACCTCGCCCTACAGGACCTGGAAGCATCTACTTGTGTCTACCCTTCCCCGCGAGGAAAAACAAAACCAATTTCTTCCCCAACCCCCCTCCTTCCCAAGGACCACACATCCTGCAGCCTCTCAACCTCGGCAGCCCCCCGGCAGGCTGGGCCTGTTCCCACCTCAGGACCTTTGCACTTGCTGACCCTCTGCTGAGGATGATCTCCCCCAAGCTGTGCCTAGGGCTGGCTCTCTCCCCTCATTGGAGGGGACTCCTCTCTCTGCCTCGTCTAGGTCAAATGTACGTGGGCATTCTTTGTGCTGTTTTCTTTTTTCAAATTTTCTGTGAAGTCAAAAATTTTAAATTAAAAAATAAAACTGGTGGGAAAGGACATAATTCAAATCCTATGGTTCCCAAAGTAATAAATACATTTTTTTCCATTGAAAGAATGAATGTTAGACCATCCAAGCTGTGCTCCCCAGGCTCCCCCAGGTGGCCTGGGACAGTGGTCCCACCCCATCCTTGGAAATGTATAGCCCCGTCTGAATTTGTACTTGGCCATCACCCACAGGCTAAGAACACGCGATTTTAAAGCCGACCGAGCTAGTGTCACACTCTTGCATGACAATGTGAATCCCAGGTCTTTAACTTGGCCAGGATCGGCTGTCCGGGGTCACCAGAGGTTCCCTTGGACAGAAACGCTGGGACATCAGTCTCTCCTTCATTTACATGCTTCTTGGGGACTCTGTTGTTATATTTTTTAAGTAGAGTTCAAATACTTAATTGTTAATAAGGTGCCAACATTTACACAGAGTGTTACAATAAAAAAAAATGCTTTGTGGTCATTCCAACACCAAATGCGAATAGACCTCGTAAAAGTCGCACGGAGGCTCATTCCCAGCACACCCAGGGCAGCGCAGACATCGCCATGACCACGCCGGTGAAGGAGCCAACTCATGCTCCCCGAGGGAGGGGCGCAGGCCGCCCCCCTGTGCATCACCGCAACGGCTGGAAGTGGGGTGGGTAAAGCAGTGCCCAGCGGGATTCAAAGGAAGGGAAGGCGTATCCTGTGACAATGAGTAATTCAGTTCTGCATCTCGGTTCTCCTCTTCCAGCTCAGCACCTGCTAATGAACACGGAGCAGCATTTGCACGTGCTGATCATTTAAAGTAACCAGCTCACCTGAGTGGAAGAAACTGCTCAAAGCATTTCAGTTTCTGTGACTCATCAAGGCCAATCATGTAGCCAGTGACCTGTCTTCTCTGTAAGGCAGTGGTTCTCAACCTTCCTAAGGCCGAGACCCTTTAGTACAGTTCATGTTGTGGTGACCCCCAACCGTAAAATTATTTTCATTGCTACTTCATCACTGTCATGTTGCTACTGTTATGAATCGTCATGTAAATATCTGATATGCAGGATGTATTTTCATTGTTACAAATTGAACATAATGAAAGCATAGTGATTAATCATAAAAACAATATGTAATTCTATATGTGTTTTCCGATGGTCTTAGGCGACCCCTGTGAAAGGGTCGTTTGACCCCCAAAGGGGTCGCGACCCACAGGTTGAGAACCGCTGCTGTAAGGTCTTTGGGAAGGACCGGATGAAGAAATTTCAGGTTGCCTGCTTCTATTTTTTAAATATATTTTTATTGATTTCAGAGAGGAAGGGAGCGGGGGAGAGAGATAGAAACATCAATGGTGAGAGAGAATTGTTGATCGGCTGCCTCCTGCACGCCCCCCACTGGGAATCAACCCTGCAACCCGGGCATGTGCCCTCGATCAGAATCGAACCCAGGACCCTTCAGTCCGCAGGTTGACGCTCTATCCACTGAGCCACACCGGCTAGGGCTCCCTCCTTCAAAGTAACAGCAAACACCGAACGCTGCTCTGCTTCAGGCGCGTCCCCTTTCTCCACGGGCCATGCACATAACTGCATTCCCAGGGGATGTGCTGAATAAACAAGGACTCCCCGTGCCACTTCGGGGACACTTTATTTGGTGTCTGACTCTACAGCACAGTCCTTAGTAACAGGGAGAGCAACAGAGAGGCCGACATGCCTGGTTAGAGAACACCTTTTGCATTGGGTGTTCAGGTTTATTTACATAAAAAACTGATTCTGAAAGAATCCAGTAAGTTGTACAAATGTCTAAAGCAGTGGTTCTCAACCTTCTGGCCCTTTAATACAGTTCCTCATGTTGTGACCCAACCATAAAGTTATTTTCGTTGCTACTTCATAACTGTCATGTTGCTACTGTTATGAATCGTCATGGAAATATCTGATCTGCAGGATGGTCTTAGGCGACCCCTGTGAAAGGGTTGTTCGACCGCCAAAGGGGTCTCGACCCGCAGGTTGAGAACCGCTGGCCTAAAGCCTTTGGTTCTGGAAAAAGGAAACAAAAGCATTCCTCTGAAAAGGTCCGATTCCATCTCCACAGCCCCGTCTGCGCATCTTGCTCATCAGATCACCTGGGAAATTGCCGAAGTTCTGCATCTGGTTACAGGCAATACCTTCCCAATCCCCACACACGTGCTTTGTTAACAAGGAGTGAGGGGCGCTCGGGAGCATGTTCCCCATGGAGGTGGGCCGGTGGGCGGAGTTCAGGCTCTGGGGGGAAGGCAACTGGCTCTGGTGGTCCCCATGGCAAACGCCCCATCCTTGACCTGCACCTGCCTGCCTGACCCTGGCCTTTAGTGGAGGCCAGCCTGCACTCCACAACTCATTGGCAGTTCAACTTATGAAGGGAAACAAGGTTAGGCTATTGAGGTCAAGAACCAGTCCCAACTGCTCCCCGTGAATCCATAGACATCCCTGCGCTAAGCATTGGGGAGAAAGACACAACTCCCCTTGGTGACCTTGGCCCAGAGTCAACTACCCCTCATCCCATGGCCTCGGATGGAAGAGGAGGCCATTCTTCGGTGTCACTGACCGTTGGCTGGCTGTCCACTGTTTTGTGGCCCCTTTTGCAGCTCCTTATTTCAGCTGAAAGGGCATCCGGGACTATCTACACCCCGGCTATGACTAATGCTCTGTGCGAGGCCACGTGGGAGTAAGAGGGGAATTATGTGAGGCAATCCTAGAATTTCAAGTCCAGGAAAATCCAGCTTCACTTGCATTTGTTCCATGGAAACCCGATAACAACACTAATATTTGGCTCTGTTGCTCAATACTTACGTGCTGTGAATGAGACAACAAAGTTCATTCTATTGTAAGAAGGGACACTGAATTCTCTACGACAGACGGTGTATTTCCACACTGAAGTGGCTATCTGATATGATCTTGGAGGGGCAATTCCTGAAACAAATTTCCCATCGTTTGGCAGCATGATCTGACAAACTTTAAACACATCAACTAGAAGTTCTCATAGAAGCCCACTATTAGCTAGGTTTTTATCCGAGATGAACATTTTTATTGGGGCTAAGAAATGACGGATTCTGATTGGGAATTCTCTGTCACATCCGAGAGACAGCGGGAACTCTAAGGTTAGAAGAGAGTTTTCAAAGAGGCTCAGCAAGCAAGGGTAAAGAGGACGGGGAGGACAGTGACAGGAACACAATGATGGCATCCAACACAGCAGACAACACTTCCCTCCCAAGAACCAACCCCCCTTCCTCATTAAGAGAATTGAAATATTAGTCACACCTTGCTAAACAGTCTTTCCCAGACTCCCGTGCAGCGGTGGGGGCTACGTGACAGAATTCTAGCCAATGGGGGAAAGCTGGGCATCTCTGGGAGAGCTGTGCTTTCTTGAGATTATTAGCATTGCACCTGTTACTTGCCTCTTCCTGCTTAGAAAGCAGACATGGTACCTGGCAGTTCAGTAACCAGTTTGTGACTATGTGGCAATAAACCAAAGGACAAAGGATGTTAGAAAACATACCAAAGAGTGTAGACCAGTGATGGCGAACCTTTTGAGCTCAGCGTGTCAGCATTTTGAAAAACCCTAACTTAACGCTGGTGCCGTGTCACATATAGAAATTTTTTGATCTTTGCAACCATAGTAAAACAAAGACTTATATTTTTTATATTTATGTTATATATTTAAATGCCATTTAACAGAAAAATCAACCAAAAAAATGAGTTTGCGTGTCATAGGTTCGCCATCACTGGTGTAGACCCTCGATGATATGACGAGAGTCCTGAGTGCCCAACCCCAGGTTTCCTACTCAGCTCGTCACTGTTCCTTGGGTTTCCTATGATCTGCGGCCAAATGCACACCTGGTACATCAATACCCAATGATGAGATTGAGAAGGATGAGGGTGACTCAGTGAAAAGGGAAGAACAAAGGCTAAAGAGAAAGAGCGGACGGGGTAACTTACTCACGCTGATCACAGTGGACCTAAAACACCCAGCTTCATTCCTGCTCGCAGAAAGGACAGAAGCCCTGCCTGAAGGAATCATTGCCTCATTACGAAGATGCCCAGTGCTCAAACTGGCTGTCTAGGATCTAACTCTGCCCTTCTGTGCTTTGATTGCTGGTATGAGAGTGCATGCTTAGACATTAAAGCTGGGCGGTTTGCATCCTACAGAGAGGAGAATGGAACAGATTTAGAATCAATTTGGTATTTCTCTTGCAATCCATTTGGAGGCGTTCCCACTGAGAAGTCATATGCCTCACCCTCTCGGCAGCGTATTTAATAAGATCGGGGAAGAAAAAGAAGTAGTCGCACTGGGTAGCCTGCTCTGACTCCTGTCTAGGCTATTTGGAAATTGACGCACACGTACGCCAAGCTGGCAGCATATAGGATGTGTCCCATGGAAAGGGCTGGACTGATCGATATTTAAGACCGCACAAGCAACAGCAATAAATAAATGAAGCAAATGCAATGGGGATGCCAATCAGTGACTGGGTGAGTACATTCTCATAATAAGGATGAATCCCTTTGCCTGGAAGGGAATACAGTGCAGCACTAAACGCTCCAATGCTCCGTCGGGCTGGCCCAAGGTGCCGGTCTTGCATAGAGAAATGATTTCTTCAGACTCATCATAACACGTGATCCTGATGTTGGTTTAGAAACTGATGGCTAAGCAAATGAGACTGAGAACAGGAGCAATAAAGGGGATGTTCATGCGTGACCCCATACTTGCAGCTTTCACTATGTTCACACTTAAATTCTTTTCCTTTTCCAACAAAGTAAGTGCAAATACATTTAGTCCAACTCAGTAACATAGCAGCAAAACTCCAGGAACCAATGAATTAGGGCACTGGCACCCCGATACCCCTCTGCCTTTTGGACTCAAAGCTTCAGAAACACCAGCCTTGAACAGAAGGGCAAACATTTCATGATTCGGCATTTGTGTTCCATCGTTCACACCCACCCACCTGCCCCCGTAGCAGTTAGTAAATTCATTAACAAACACAATTTGAAACTCATAAGGAGTTAAAGCTATAAAATGCCTACTCATTGGTGTATTTTTTTAACAAACGTTTCATCCTTCTTCCCTTCCTTTCAAACAAAGCTTCTGGGTCATTCATTAGGATAATAACATATCACTTGTTTACTTCTTTTAAAATGACACAGTTGTGTTTTTCTCAAAACGACTGCCATCTTGTTTCTAATTAAACATGATGGATTCAGGGTCCTGGTTTGCCATCTGGGCCATATGTCTCAGAACATCCTTTTTTGTGATGATGCCAAGAAGTCTCCTGGAGAAGAAACAAAATAGAGAAAAGAGGTCAACCTCGCAATACCGACTCATGCCTTTCCCGGAACACCAGTGCCTTTATCACCTGGGCACACTGAGAGACAACATTCCCCAGCGTCCCTTGCGAGTGGGCGCGGCCAGCTGAGTGAGCCCTGGCCAATGGAGTGAGTATGGGTAGACATGAGAGGTGCCCCTCCCGGGCCGCCCACACATTTCCTCACACTCTCTCTCTCCTCAGCTGCCAGGCAGAGGCAGAGGAGCCAGTGAAGGACTCTGAGGTCACAAGGGATTGAGAAGGAGCCACCAGATTCAAAGACCTGTGTCCTTGAATGACTGTGTTGCAGACCCCATGCCTGCTGCGACTGATACTGGATATGACTTGGGAGATAAGTAAACCTGACACATCCGGCCACTGAGATTCCAAACTTGTTTATTACAGCAGTAAACCTACATACGATGCCTGATATACACTCCTAAATTTTAAAACTATACTCAATAAAATAAAAGTGCTTATGAAAGCCGTTGTCAAAACTTGCCCACACCATGGAAATTCTAACCATAAGGTTTTGTTTTTTTTAATCCTTACCCAAGGATATTTTTTTCATTGATTTTTTTTTTTTAGAGAGAGAGTGGGGGGGGGGGCGCGAGAGCTAAAGAGAGCGAAACATCAATACATCAACTGTTTGCCTCCCACACGTGCTCAGACTGGGCCCGGGGATCAAACCTGAAACCCAGGTACGTGCCCTTGACCTGGAATTGAACCCGAGACCCTTTGGTGTTCAGGCCAACACTCTAACCACTTAGCACACTGACCAGGGCCCAAGTATAAGGTATTTTAAGTATAACAACTGATTCTGTTTTAAATCTATCTTACTAGAAGGGGAAAGTTTGACATTCATCTCTGACCATATTTGTAAATTACCTCCTCTTCCAAAATGCCATTGCTTTCAACTTACAGAAACAATACCACCTCCCAGGGTCGCTTGTATTGGGCCACCTAGACAATGTATCGCACAACTCCAGGAGCACTGCTCACAAACACTGCAATGCACAAGTGCCCCTAGAATATGCGGTACACACTTGGACAACCATTCACGACAGCCCATGCCTCACTCTTGATTCTATTAAATATTTAAGTGGCCACCTGCTGGAACAAGTCACGCCCTCTAGGTACAGTGAAGGGCTTGAAAGAAGGGGATGTACACAACTTCTTTGGAGAAAAGAAGTTCCATTACCAAATTCGTTTGCAAAATGCTGCTCACTGTGTCTCCATCATACCCAGGAAAGGGGAATGGAGAAGTGAACTATGTCAGGACACCGGGACACTGAATAGCTATTAAATGACAGGCTTCTCTGCATCTGGGTAAAATGATGAATACACACAAAAATCAGAAAGCACAATTGTAATACACTGTCGTTTATCTAAGTAAAGCCAAATCAGTCAAACTCAAACTCATCTGTTACTAATAGAAAGTAAATATTCAAAGGGAATTCAAGTATTCAGAGCAGTGTCCAAGTCAGTGACATCTGGTGAGATGCACACTGGTTAGTGAAACTGTCAAGCCAGAATTCTGACTTTTGTCCCTGATCACACTGGAGCTTAAAAAAGTGACTGGTTTGTTGTGTTAGTTTTCCTTCTGTCACACTAGGGGGGACAGCAAACACTACCTCTTCCCCTCCCTCTCATGGGAGCATCTTCAGGAGAGAGGAAAACAGCCGACAGGGCCTTTGAAAGCACGCTAGGCAAAAATAATAATGACCACATGGGTGACAACACACGGAAAGACAGCGTCGTGACTATCATGATAACCAAAAAATAAAGAACAATGTAGAGAGCGGAAGAGAATTAGAAAACCAGTATTTTGCACCCCCAATGTAATAACGAGGTTAGCCAATAATTATCATCAATGAATTCCAAAACCGCTGGGTAAATGGTTGCTAGAACCAGAAGATTCACATGGTCTCAAAGGATCCGGCCACCGATGACGTACAAAGAGAAAAATGTCCCTTTCCAAGCGCGGTTCCGGCCATCAGCGCCCCATCCGAGTGATGGAGCTTATCACCAACAAAGTCGGAAAGGCTGACATCATGACATCATCTACTTTGAAATGTTGCCAAAAACCACTTAAACCAAGTCAAACCATGAGGAAGCAATCAAACATATTCAAAATGTGAGACTACTGGTCTGGTCTCTTAAAAAAATATGTGTCACAAATAACAAACAAAACAGAGGCAGGGAAGTATTTTAAACAAACATCCCCAATAGAATATTGTTCGGGCTAAAAAGAAATGAGCTATCAAGTCAGGTAAAGACATGGAAGAACCTTAAAGGCATACTAAGAGAAAGAAGCCCATCTGAGAAGGCTGTGCGATTCCAATTCTATGACATTCTGGAAAAGACAAAACTAGGGAGACTGAAGGACACATATGTAACACCTTAATCAATAAGGAAAAAAAAGACACAATAAAAAGAAAAAAAAACTAGGGAGACTGTAAAAGATCAGCGGTTGCCAGGGGAGTGGGAGGGTGGGAGTGTTCAGGACAGGAAAACTCCTCTGTGTGATACCATAATGGTGTGTACGTGTCATTCTCCATTTGTCAAAACCCACAGAATGTACACCACCAAGAGTGAACCCTAATGCAAACTATGAACCTTAGTTACTAATACTGGATCGATAGATCAATGGCAACAAATATAACCCACCGATGAAGATGTTAACAAGAAGGGAAACTGAAGGAACGAGAGAGGGAATATGGGAACTCTATACTCTCTGTTCAACTTCTCTGTAACCCTAAAACCACTCTAAGAAATAAAGCCTATTAATTAAAGCAAACAAAACCCTTGGAGGGGGAGGGGTTGCCTGAGAGGAGGGGTTAGTGAAGAAGGATAAAGCCAGGAATTGTTGTGGGGTTTTTTTGTTGTTGTTTTTTAATATATTTCTATTGATTTCAGAGAGGAAGGGAGAGGGAGAGAGAGAGAAAGAGAGAGAAACATCAATGATGAGAGAGAATCATGGATCAGCTGCCTCCTGCACGCCCCACAATGGGGATGGAGCCCGCTACCCGGGCATATGCTCCAACCAGGAATTGAACCTTAACCTCCTGGTTCATAGGTCAACACTCAACCACTGAGCCACGCCGGCTGGACAATGTTGTTTTTCATTCTAGCTGTTTCGAGCTACTTGACTTTCAACATGTTCATATGGTACTTTAAATACATTTCTGAAATTGATCCAAATGCAGTCCAACTGATGGTGCCCCAGAAAGCAAGATGCTGTTACACCGACTCTGCCAAGCTGAGTCCGAGTCCTGGCTGAGCCTGCTCAGGCTGCCATGGCAAAGCACCACACACCGGGTGGCTTAACAACAAAACCTAGTTTCTCGCAGTTCTAGAGACCGGAGGGCCAAGGTCAAGGTGCTGGCACGTCTGGTTTCTGCAGCAGCCTCTCTCCGTGGCTTGCAGACACCCGCCTTTCTGCTGTGACCTCACATGGCCCTTTTCCCTGTCCCAGCAACCCTGGTGTCTCTTCCTCTTTTTATAAGGACACCAGTCCCATCAGATGAGGGCCTCACTCTTGTTGACCTCATTGCACTGTGATCACCCCCTTAAAGACCCCACCTCCAAATACAGTCACATTGGGGGGTCAGGGCTTCAGCACAAGAATTTGGGGTGTTGGGGGAGGACATAATTCAGCATGTTCCTTAAGATGAGCTCCTTGGCTTTACTTGTTAAACATTTTTGAGCCTTCTCCAGTTCTCGTCCAATACATGCTCCGGACGATGATTAAAACAATGCTGCTTGGGAAAAAATGACTTGTTAGTGTTTGCAAAGTGCTGAGAACTCTACTATCACACACCACACCACACACACACACACACACACACACGTGTGTGTGTGTGTGTGCATGCGCGCGCCTCCCACGTCCCTCCCACGTCTGTAAAGCCTGGTTTGTATTTCCTTATCTTCACCCTGGAGACAGCATCAAAGATCAGGCATCTGCCTAAAGCCGTCCTGACAACCCCCCCTTCGAGCTCTGGGGCTACGATGTCTGAGAGTCACGCCGGGTGCGATGGTGCTGGGGAAACACATGCAGCAGCTGCCTCAGCTGCCTGGGGTGCCTGGGGTGCAGGCATCAACGGGGCCCGGGCCCGCGACAATCATTATCGCAGGACACCGCACAGCCACCCGGAAGGAGGCGACATCAAAGCCGGCAGGGATCAGCAGAGCCGGGAAATGTCCTATTTCATTTACATCAAGAGCTTACACGTCCAGCCCCTTGGGGTAGCAGTTCAAGTGAGTCCGGAGACTGGTAAACGGCCGATCTATCCGCTGGAGGCACTGAGCTCTTCCGAGGAGGCCGCCCAGCAGGACTTGGGGTCGCTGACACCATCTCCCCGGCCTGCTTGTCCTTCCTCGGTCCCGTGGACGGAAAAGCCCACCCGAGTCACTCTTGGCCCCTGGAGGCTTCCTAGACGCCGGCACTCAGGGCACAAAGGCTTCTCTGGTTCCCGGTCTGCTTCCCCAAAGACATCGGACCCCGGGCCCTGAGAAATCCTGCGGCTGCTGCTGGTGCAGGGGATGAGCTGGGCTCTCTCTCGGCCCCGAGCAAGGAAAGCGCATGGCGACAGGATAATCAAAACCCGCGCTGGCTTCAGACGGGCCTGCCCTGGCCTCGAGCCGGAGATGAAAGGCCCGCGCACCAGGCCCCCTTGCCAGCACCAACGTATCAGCATCTGTGTTTGTTTAAAATATGTAGAGTGAGAGGGGGAGAGAGAGAGAGAGTGCGATTTTGTTTTCTTGCAGAACATTCGGAGCCAATTTCAGCGCCCAGATCTTCACAGGGAAACCTCGGGGGCTCCGCGAGGTGCGAGCGGGCACTCGGAGCGGAATTCCCACCGGCGCTGGAAATTCCGAGGATAACTGACGTTGGATTATTATTTTAAAGGGAAAGAGAAACTGCGATCCACTTGAGACGACACGAGTGATCACAGCAGTATTTACACCGAGCGCTGGAAATTCAAGTACACAAATGGGCTCCAGTGTTTTGCAAAGTGGGGTCCCGCGACCAGCGGCAGCCCTTGGGGGCTGGTTAGAAATAGACATTCTCCGCCCCCCCCCCGCCCCTGCCCCCAGGCTTGTTCCCGGGGCTGGGCTTCAGCTAGAGGCTCAATCCTCGGAGATTCGGATGCACACTCAGGTTTGAGGACCACTGAGTTCCTTGAAAAGTCACAGCTAAGCCCTAGCCGGTTTGGCTCAGTGGGTAGAGCCTCGGCCTGTGGACTGAAGGGTCTCAGTTTCGATTCTGGTCAAGGGCACATGCCCGGGTTGCGAACTTGATCTCCAGTAGGGGGTGTGCAGGAGACAGCTGACCAATGATTCTCTCTCATCATTGATGTTTCTATCTCTCCCCCTCTCCCTTCCTCTCTGAAATCAATACAAATATTTTTAAAAAGTCACAGCTAAAAGAATCTCCAGCCTCAAACATTTGTTCATTTGTTCCATATTGATCGCCCCTCCCACGTGCAAGATGCCCTGTGGCTGCTGTCAGAGCCGGGGTGGGGGGGTAGAGGGGATGTTGGTTCTGTCGCTAGGAGCTCTCCGGGTCAGGGAGCAAATGCAGCACCTGGGAGCCCGGCCGCTCTAGGCAGGAGAGCGGGGAGAAAGCCGCCTGGGCAAGGCCCGCTCACTCGGCTGTTCTCTGGGTCACCCAGTTGGAACACTGGTGACATCTAGGCCGGATGACTCTTTGCTGACGTGTGGATTGCCCTGTGCACTGTAGATGCCAGCAGATGCCAGCAGCACCCCCTCCTCCCCGCTGTGACACCCCATCTCTCTGGGGGGCAGCACCACCCGGGGTGAGAAGTGCTGAATTCAACTTCCACAGTGTGGCCCGGGAAATGTAAACTACGATAGAGAGCGCGGCCTCTGGAGCCTACAGGGGCCTGAGCTATATTCAGGGGACCAACGTATCCACAACCCATACCCCACCCCCACCCCCCGCCCCGGCCCCAGCCCATAAGGCAGGGGTGGGGAACCTTTTCCTGCCAAGGGCCACGGGGAGATTTGTAACATCATTCTCGGGCCCTACAAAATCATCACCTTAAACATGAGCCTGCTCTGTTTGGTCAGACATTGAATGAGCTCACCCCTAATGCCTTGGAGGGCCAGACCCCATGGTTTCTCGGGCCTCATACGACCCGAGGGCCGCACGTTCCCCACCGCTGCCCATAAAGGAATGAGCTGGGCAGACGACCCTAGGTTCCAGGCAACCCTGACTGAGCCGACCTCCTCCTCCTGCCAAGCTTCTGAGGCCGTGGAATTTGGGGTGCGCCTCTGAGCCCAAACATTGGCCCTCAGGGCACGGCACCTCCCACACCATCAGGACCCTCCGATCTCCGCAGCGCCGCCTGCCCGGCTGGCATAACAGAAAGCGGAGGAATTTGCTGGCAGAGACCATGCCACGGCCGCCACGTCTCAGCTGATAACACTGGTGTTGAAAGCGTGAACTGGCGGGAACACGCTGACAAATTAGGGAACAGGCTGAGCTTAATGCGAACTTCACCTCTGCTTCTGGGGATTTCATCCACGAGAGAGTGCGGGTGAGAGCCGCATGCAGCACCGGCGGGGCCTGGGCCCGGGGACACCCAAATGCCCGCGAGCCGTGGCCCTCGAGACGCCCACGTCCACGAGCCAACCTCGGGCATCCTTAAGGCCAAGTGACATATGTCTTGTCACACTGACATATTTCTTAACCACTTACTGTATCTGAAATAGTACTACCGTCTTCATTACCTCCCATCTCTTTTTCTTAACGTGTCACTGACGAAGCTTTTAGTGCTGTGCCCCAACCCTCTCTTTCCCACCAGCCCCGTGGTTTTCGTTGCTCACGTTGGCATATGATCAGCACCATGACTCTGAGGAATGTATATGTCACAGTACAGCAGGCCCGGCTGCACCTTCTCCCTGAGTCAAGTGGCAACAGGGTGGTAGAAAAGCAACCACCTTGAGTCCCCTGAGGACTGAGAGAGAATCATGGATCGGCTGCCTCCTGCACGCCCCCTACTGGGAACATTCACCTTGCTCTCCCCAGTCTGGGCACAGCCGCTGTACACGTCCCCCCCGCCCTCCCCCAGCACCAGCCCGGCCACTCACCCGCTCCGCGTCACCAGGCACTGGCGGAGCCCCAGCTTCCGGAAGATGTCCACCACCGTCTCCATGGGGGTGTGGTCCGTGACCGTGAAAGGGCTGAGGTTCAGGACCCGGCGCAGCTTCAGGGGTTGCGGGCTGTTGGCCGGCAGCTCGGGGGGGTCCTCCGTGAAGTACATGATGGAGTTGCTCACGATGCCCTCCTGCCTCTGCCTGGCGTTCTCTGGAATGGGCAGCGGGAGCAGAAGTCACACCCAGTCCCTCGCTTAGCAACTACCCCGCGCC